CGCTCTTCTTCCCTTAGTTCAAACTCTCTGAGATAATTTGCCCTGTCGTCTTTCCGAAGATCATCAATGCGCGGAGGACCACCACGTGACAACAGACCACCAGGGTAGTCCAAGTCAAGAGATGTTGCACCATGGATTCCTTTCCCCGCGCCATAGTCCCGGCCAGGAGGTAAGCTAACGCCATAACCAGGATTTGAAGAACTCTCCGGATATATAAAGTCATCTAGGTTTCGTCGAGGAGCAGCACCTAATAGTGATGAAGCATGTTGGCTGGCATAAGAGGAGGCACTGCGAACTGATAAACTGTGAGGGTCAGGCTCGAGTCTTCCTCCTCCATAATGTAGAGCTTCTTGGTCAGAATGGCGGACAGAAGAACTTCGTGCTGTAAGATAATCAGCTTGTCTGCCAGAAATGTGCTGCTACTCAGTGCAATAACATATGAAATTCTTTTAAGTGAAATTTCCACAAGTTTGCCGTGGGAGGTATGTTTTCTTTATTAGAGGAAGGCTTGAAAAATAGGAGGGTTATAGCACAGAACAGGAAGAGATATATAAAGGGAACACAATAAGAAAATTCAGCCCTGTAACATCGATGCCATGCTACAGTAAAATAAATAAATAAAAGTACCTGGCACCTCCGTCAACAGAAGTATGGAGCGATTGGATTTTTAATAATTGTTCTCCTCGAAGGAGTGATGCTTGATCAATACGATCATACAAGTCAGTCTGCAAAATCATACAAAAATGAGTATCAAACAGAAATCTAAGTAACCATACTTCCAAAATAAAAAAGCTAAAAGAGTGAAGCACCTGATGCTGACGACTGAAACCAGATGATTCAGTATATCGTCCAGTTGATGGTTCACTTGGCAAGTCCCTCCCCATGTAACTACTTGGTCGTTCGCCATATTGCCTCCTCTCAACCGGAACATAACCAGAAAGCTTTTCTGTGTATATATCGTCCCTCTTTTGACCATAACCATGGCTTGAGGGAGATAAATAGCTGCCAGATGCAAACTTTGGAGAGTCTGGTAAAGCAGAGACATAACCTGACCGGCCCTCCAAGACTGATGAACCTACGCCTTTAGTGCTTAAAGGCTGAAAATGTAGAATCAGGTTTTCATTAAAAACTATAGACAAATTTTAGAGCATATGAGATTCTCGGCGAAACAATGAGAAATCTGTATCCTTCTATGATCAACCTACTACCTGCTGAGAGCTGCTGAGAGAAGCTGAGCCGTAAATAGATCCATGTTGTCCTCCATAACTGGACGTTGAGGTATGAGATCTGTAACCAGCGATTTCAGTCTCCTGAGTGGCACCAGTGATGGATGGATGCCGAGAACTCAAGGAAATTTGAGCGTTTCCTTCTGTCCCGCCAACTGAACTTCCCGGGTAGCCGGCTCCAAGCTATGTATATATGAGCAAAATTAGCCCTAATATTGGACCCCATATATCAAGAAGCATTACAAGGAACAAAGAACCTGAAGACTCTTTTCTCAGCCAAGATTCAACATACACAACAGAGAAAAGTTTCAACTTCAGTGCTAAATTGTCGTAAAATGATAAAACCACCCTTAAACAGCCAACCGTATGATACAATGAAATAGTGATATGTGGATTAAGACAACCGGTATAGAGACACGCGAAAAGGAAATTTCAAGCATGCCCACAAAAAACTACGCATGAAATTTGCATGAGAAATAGAGTAATTTGAATCATATTCATATATGAACTTACATTCTGACCATATCCAGACTGCGAACCATACTGCTGTTGTCCGTACCCACTCCCTCTTGAGTACATAACTCAACGCATACACTTCAATCGCAGAGAATTAGTAAGCCTGTGACAAGAAGAGACAAGACAAAAAAAAACCCAAAAAGAAAGACCTTGTCAGACTCCAACCCACCAACGCATAGACCAAAACAACCAAAAGTAAACCGAACTCCCCCCCCCCCCAAGTGAGCAACGCCGAAAGGAGCTGGGACGAAATCCCCCGATAAATCCTCAAAACCCTAAATCATTTCCCGGGATTTATTGAAGCAAAAGAAGAAAAATGTCAGACACCGATCGTACAATGGGCGACCTACCTGCGTTTCTCCGACTGGCTAAGGAAACGAAAACCCTATATAAACAACAGAAGAAGAAGAAGTGAGAATGCTCGAGGAACGAAGGGTTAAAAGGTTCATCTGATTTTTCTTGGGTGAAATCATCCTGTGCCGACTCCAAATCCCTATATCATTTCCAAATTGGGCTTTTTTATAGGCCTTGGCCCATATTATTTGTCAATGGTTGAATCCATCATGGGCCTGGGCCCACTGTTTATCCTTATCATTTGCTTAAGACAAAAAAAAAATTTAACCATAAACATGTACATGTTCACGTAGGGCATTATAGTATGAATTGTATTAGAGGCTGATTTAACCGGATTTGGTTCGATTTGGTATAGTTCGGGTTGTAGTTATATAGAACCCATGTCTTTCCTCTTTGATAGTTGAGATCATTTTGACTAGTATTATTATAAAATCATTCAAAACGGTTGGCTTCACATTTTCGATTATTGGGGCATGAATCGTGCATATGTGTATGTATTATTATGTATATACACGACACGCATGCAATGAATTCATTAATCAATGCGATGGATGGTCGATGGGATTTAATAATGGAAACCATAAATCATGTATAAATTTTGCATTGTGATGAACGCATCATAACCTAATTTCCAGCTTTTTATTATGTGAATGTAGTCACCACCAGCTCGACAATACCTATGATGCTTAAAATTAATCTGAAATAAGAGTAGGTATGTGATAATTTTTCTTTTTCATTTTTTTTAATTCTTTATTGGAAAACGAGTAGACATAATTTATATATTTTTTGAATTTACATATGGGTTTGATTTTATTCTGGTTTTCTAATTTTTTCTAGTTATTGAGTAGTTATATTAAAACCATTACCAAGTATATTTAATCAATAAAACATAAATGTTTGTTAACCGCCACGAGAAAACTATGAATGATAATGACATAAATATTTCTCAACGTTTTTTGTGAATAGGAATTCTAAAATACCGTCCAGTTGGATTTCGAGATCCGAAAATGTTATCTATATATACACATGGGCCTAGAAAAGTCTCTAAGAATGAGGAAGTTAATTGGATAGATCATATCATTATTTGGTAAGTTTTAATATTTTATTTTATTCAATATATATATATATGCAATATACTCCAAAATCGTAAACTGTGAAGTGTTATCAACTTTTAAAAAATCCGAAACTTTGGTTGGTTCTGATGATTATCACCCAAATTTTAGCTCTCGTGCAAAGAAAAGGCTTGATATATCTATATTTATTATTTAATATAAAAAGGTATGAGACAATATTCAACTAATAATTCGATGAGTTAATGTAAATAGATTGTCTGTTTTGCATCCCAAAAGGATTCGTACTTCATAAAAAGAGAACCCTCATCGCCGGCGTTGCCGCCGCCGCCGCCACGTCAGCAATATAGAAGAAGTGGGATGCGGCGGCGCCTGTAATGAAAAAAACATCTATATAGAAGAATTGAAATACAAAAAAAAATTACAAATATAGACATGATGATAATCGCACGTGAAAATAAATAAGAGTGTTTTAATAGCAATATTATAGGGTATTTTAAAAAGTGGTTTTTAATTTTTTTTTTCCTTTTTCTACCAACGATTAATTTCTCTTTTTTTCCTTTTTCGCACCGACAAAACCACCGCTTTCTTCCTGACATGTTCTTTCCTCGTCTTCACACAGCAGTTTCCCAGGCTCTAAATCGAAGTGAAGTGTGTATAAATACATATATATATATATATATATATATATATATATACACACAGCCATCTCACAAATTAATAAGGGGCCTATAAATTTGGAGGTCCTATTTCATCGCACCTTTTGAACATGTTAATAAACGGCTCTGTATACACATACTCACTTTGAGAGAAGAAGGAATGTGGAAGCTGAGGATAGCAAGAACGACTTTGTCGAGAGACAGATTTGGGAGTTCGACGCAGAGGCAGGAACGCAAGATGAGCTTCTCGAGGTCGAGGAGGCTCGACGTAACTTCTCCAAGAACAGGTCTCAGGTCAAGACCAGCTCCGATCTCCTATGGCGAATGCAGGTTATCATCACGATCATTCTCCATGCACATTACATATACGTACACTATGTTCTTCATACCAGATGAGACATACAAAAAAGCATGCAATACAAATGTTGTTAATACAAGACAGTTTACAGCATGTCCTGAAAGAGAATACCGCATGAATTTAAGAACTCTCTCTCTCTCTCTCTATATATATATATATATATATATATATATCTCTCTCTCTCTCTGCAGTTTCTCAGGGAGAAGAACTTCAAGTAGAAACTTCCACGGGTGAAGCTGAATAACTCAGAGAAGATAACATACGAAAAGCAGCTAGGGCTGCGGTTAGAAGAGGGGTCGACTATTTCTCGGCCTTGCAAGCCGACGATGGACACTGGCCTGCTGAAAACGCCGGACCTTTGTTCTTCCTCCCTCCTTTTGTAAGCACACAACAGACTATATAAATGTGATTTAGATGAAACATTAAACCAAAAAATATGATCGAAAATATATGTGTGTATATATATATTTATTCTTTTTCAGGTCATATGTTTATACATCACTGGATATCTGGGTGAGATCTTTTCTCCTGAGCATCGTAAGGAGATCCTACGTTACATATACAATCATTAGGTGACTAATTCAATTATTCTTATAAATTGTAACGCCTAAGTTAATCAATTACACTGAATATCTTATAAAAAAAAATTACACTGAATAGTAATAGTAAGAGAAGAACATACATAAATATATATATATATATAGATATTGACAAGAAAAAAGACATATATATATATATATATATATATATATTATATCGTTACAAAAAAACATATATATTGTTGGGTTTCCTGGGATCTCATGAGCGAATTTAATTCCTAAGAGATCGATTCTAGGGTTTGCGCAGCGGATATAAAACAAAAATTTTAATGAAACCCTAGAACCATGCTACTATTGAATCATAGAAACGTTAGAACGCTTATCTCAATCGATCCGGGGCCTGTATCAATTGATTTGTTCGTCCGATCACTCTAGGCAGGAAATTACCTCGCCCTCTACACGTATCCACGCGTCGGGATGGATTCCAACACCTTGGAACTTGTCTGCTAGGACTAGAGATCTCGATCTCTCTTGTGTGCAAGGTTTTTGGAGGCTTAGGGTTTTATTTTTCTTCTTTTTTTTCTTCCCTTTTTTTTCTTCCTTTCTTTTTTCTTCTTTTAAAACCCTAGAAGACATTCTCCTTATATAGACTTTCCAAAAATCCTATAATTAGGTTTCCTAAACCTATTAGAATTCTAATCTCATTAGGTTTCCTAGATGTAATAGAATTCTAATCTCATTAGGATTCCTATACATAATAAGATTCCTAATCCCATTAGGATTCCTATTCCAATTAGGAATCTCAATCCAATTAGGATTCCTAATCGGGATAATTTAGCACACGTACTTGTCCATCCCTATTGTGTGTGACCCTGTAGGCTCATCCGGAATAGCAGTAAAACGCAGAATCTCCATTCCGATAATACAAGTCATAGGCGGTCTCTAGCAAGACACTATAACTACCTATCTCGAATAGAGTTAGTTTGTTTGTGATCATACGAAAGCCAGTGATGATTCCGACTGATGATCCTTTTGTATCACGATATCATATGTCGAACATAAGGCATGGACAAGCCACCTTATCTGATTCGACTGCTTTCTCGTTCACTGAGTTCGACTGTCTGAAATAGACGACGTTCGTCTATAGTGCGGCCACACATTTCTACAGTCTTGCTCACACGAGGGGCCCAGCGATATCTCTCTCTTTTACGAGAGGTACAAATCCCGTCTTGACTATCTACAATCCAGTACATGATTCGTTTCGTACCTGATACACGCCTTTATAGTCCTCCTGTTACGCAGGACGTTTGACGTATTCAAAGCACGCAACTCCTCATGTTGGAACTCCTCATGTTGGATTTTGTAGATATCTCAGGTCTTAGGATCCAATCATGGAATCGTCGTATGAGATTCAAGTCATGACGCTAGTCCATGTGACAATCTCATGCGGGTCAGTCCAGTATTCTGTTCTGCAACGAATACCTATGATTGTGATCGTATCCAATACCTATGATCATCTATGTGATCATCAATCACACATCATACTAGTCTTATTATGTCGTTATTCCCATAATGACACAAGACTAGGGAGTTTAGTATCATTCATAATGATACATGGATTTCATAACAGATCTAGCATGCAGGAACATGTAATGAACAAGATACTCTCATAAAAAAACATATAGAAAGTATCAATACATCAAATGTATCTGAACAAAGCTCATAATCAGTACATCATAGAGCACTAAACCAACATATATATAGAGAGAGAGAGATTCCGTTATTTAATATTTCGGTTTCCACATTTGTACGTAGAATGAGGATTGGTGGCTGGGGGCTTCATGTGGAATGCCACAGCGGCATGTTTTGTACAGTTCTCAACTACATCTGCCTACGAATCCTCGGATTAGGACCCGATTCGAATGCTTGCGCGAGGTCTCGGAAGTGGATTCTTGACCATGGCGGTGCCACGTTTACGCCATTGCTAGGAAAAGCTTTGCTTTCTGTACGTATAATATAAGCTTGTTTCGCATGTTCAAAGTAAAACGGACATCATGCTTGATCTTATAGTCGTTCACATCATGTCATGCCTTTTTTTAGATCCTTGGAGTATACGATTGGTCCGGCTGCAAACCTATGCCACCCGAGTTCTGGATGCTTCCTTCTTACTCTCCTATCAATGGAGGTTCGAGAAATTCTTGGAAAAAATATAACTTTTTAACTAGGGACATAATGTTAACCAACTTGTTTTGTGTTTGTATAGGCACACTTTGGATTTATTGTCGGATGATTTTCATGTCATTATCATATTTCTACGGTAAAAGGTTCGTCGCCCCCCGAACACCCCTCGTTCTACAGCTTCGGGAAGAACTCTATTCTCAGCCTTGCGATAAAATCAATTGGAAAGATACGCGTCATCGATGAGCAACGGTAAACTATAAAGTTTTTTTCGGTTTTACAAAACTATGTATCAATCGGTTATTATATTATATTCGGTTCGTTTCGGTTCCAGTTCGGTTTCGTTTTTTATTAAAAAAAATAGATATTCTTAAAAAACGATTTTCTGGGTTTTTTAAAATTCGGTTCGGTAACAGGAAATTCGGTTTTCTAAAAAAAATATCGTTAGAGAATTTTGGACCGTTCCGTTTGGAAAAAATATCGCATCTTCCAGGTCGACATGGTTCGATTATGAGAAACCGTACCGAAAAGCCCACCCCTAGTATATATACATTTTTTTGTTGAGATTGGTGAGCATCAAACAAGATTCTTCAAATATTTGGCCTGCAAGAAGATCTCTACTGTCCTCAGACCTTGTTACAGAAGATTTTTTGGGACAGTGTTTATATGAGTTTTGAGCCTTTCCTAACTCGTTGGCCCTTCAACAAATTGGTAAGACAAAAGGCTCTCAAAATTACAATGGACCACATTCATTACCATGACGAAATCAGCCGATATATTTCCGGTGGATGCTTGATAAAGGTGATGCTTCTCCTAATAAATTATATATATATATATATATATCATTGTTTATGAACTTCATTTGTTGATAAACACGTTAGATTTCATCAAAAAAATAAAAAAAACCTCTTGAAATAGTCGCTATGTATGCTTGCTTGTTGGATCGAGGATCCTGACGGCGACTATTTCAAGAAGCATCTTGCTAGAGTCCCCGACTACATTTGGATGGGGGAAGACGGTATGAAAATTTAGGTTTATCCTTCGTTATCCCCTTATTATACGATTCTTTCGACGGTTTCATGTCATCCTTGGGTTATATAAACTCGGTTCACTTTACTATTATATCGGTGTCTTTTGGTGCAGTCTTTCGGCAGTCAATTGTGGGATACGGTTTTGTCGCTCCAAGCCTTGCTAGCAACTGAACTTGCAGGAGATGAACTCAGATCGACATTTGTGAAGGGATATGACTTCTTGAAGAAATCTCAGGTTTAGATCGTGTTGTTATACGTTTGTGCGTGTTTTATCATAGAAAACAAAAACATGATACGGACACGACAAATTTATATATGTTTGGACAGATGACAGAGGAACTTCATGGTGACCATAAGAGGATGTTTAGGTACTTCTCAAAAGGGGCATGGACCTTTTCGGACCAAGATCATGGATGGCCATCTTCTGATTGCACCGCAGAAAGTTTAGAGGTTTATATATTCTAAAATCTCTATAGTTTCACATATGCGCATGTGTTTAATTTGCTAATTATGATAACCATTGGTATATGTGTGAGCCAGTGTTGCCTAGTCTTCTCGACCATGCCGTCTGGATTCATTGGTGAGAAAATGGAATTGGAAAGGTTATATGACGCGGTCAGTTCACTTCTCGTATTGCAGGTAAAAAAGAAATTTAAACGATGGTTACAGATTTTGAATGTGATATATATATATATATCAACACGCATGCATGATCATCATATCTAATGAGTTAGATCATTGTCTTCAATTCTCCGAACGTTTTTGCCATGTTTTAGAGCAAAAACGGAGGCATGCCGGCCTGGGAGCCACCCCGTGGAAACCTCTGGCTGGAGGTAACAGAAAATCATCATTTGTTCACACCCATTCATTATTCAGATCGAGAATTATAACATATAGTTTATATATTACAACATCTCTCATGCAACCTTCGTACATATTGATCTAGCGGCTCAACCCGGTCGAGTTTATGGAAGAAGCGGTTCTAGAGCACGAGTACGTGGAATGCACAGCATCGGCAGTAGCAGCTCTAGTCCTATTCAGAAAGTATTTTCCAGACTATAGGAAGAACGAGGTCGGAAATTTCATCAATAAAGCTACAAATTATATCGAGAATAAGCAGCTCTCAAATGGATCATGGTATGCATATGTGTATATATATAAATGTTACTCCTCGATTTTTTTTTTTATAACCAGGATGGTTCCTCGGGCCTTCGGTCCGACTACATCCACCCTAGGCTCGGGACCAGCCTTTGTATATGGACCATTTTGATCAAGAAATTACATCCATCCCCACCCGTGAAATCGAACCCATGACCTCGAGGATGACTTTGTCACCTCTCAACCACTGGACCATCAATTGTTGGGTTACTTCTCGATTTATAGAAAAACACTCGAATTTTTTTTAATTTTGTGCATATACATATATATTTTGTAGGTATGGAAACTGGGGTGTGTGCTTCTTCTACGGTACTTGGTTTGCTCTACGAGGTCTCATGGCTGCGGGGAAGAGTTACCGAAACTCTGCATCCATTTCTAAAGCGGTCCGGTTTCTTCTCGATACTCAGAACACAGATGGTGGATGGGGCGAAAGCTATCTCTCTTGCCCTAACAAAGTATTTTTTTTTTATAAAAAAAATGCCATAGAATATGCGATTTTATCGTTTGCTTGTCCATCAAGAAACCAAATTCCGTTTGTATGGCAGGAATATACTCCTGCGAGAGGGAGTAAGTCAAATGTGGTGAACACAGCTCAAGCCATGATGGGTTTGATCCTTACAGGACAGGTTAGTGATAGGGCTCGCGAATATTCATATTATATTATTCATCTCGATTTGAACATATATATATATATATATGGACTGATTCGTATATATTTGGGTGTCGTTGCATGAGAATTGTTAAAGATGGAGAGAAACCCTAATCCAGTTGACCGAGCTGCAAAGCTGTTGATCAATTCACAGATGGAAAACGGCGATTTCCCGCAAGAGGTGATGTTTGATTCATTTTTGTTTTCCTGATCGGAGTGAAAGAAGGATCCGAAAATCCGAATATTGCATGCATGCATGCACACATGCATACGTAAATAATATGTGTTTGGTTTTGTTTTCAGGGAATTATGGGAGTTTTCAAGATGAACGTGATGCTTCACTATCCGAACTTCAGGAACATATTCCCATTGTGGGCGCTCGCTGAATATACCAAGGCGTTATAACGGATCATGTAAAATGCGTATACATAATGTGTTATATATATATATATATATATGTATATATACACACGTACACACACACGCACAAAAGTCTATTACAATGGAAACTGATTCAGAAATGGGAAGACAGATAAGGGAACGAATTTCGGAGTTTATAAATGGTGTATATAATGTGCCTTAAAAAGACAATAAATATCATTAAGATTTTTAATTTTGCGTTCCTGATTTGGGCATGAGATTACGTGTGGACATACATAGTGCTCCCACTGGTTCATTCAGAAGCTTTAGTTCTGTCACCAATTCATCCAAGGCTATATGGATGGAGATAAAGCGGGTTAAAAACTGACCCGATTATGGAAGCGGGTTAAAATTGACCCGGTTCATTATCGGCGAGGTATAAAAATTCGTAAAAATCGAAGCTTTAACGATAAAATTATTTTTGTTCTCTTTTGATTTTTTTACATTAACGAGTACGACACGGAGACTGAGGGCGGCGACGAGCTTCTCCCGCGGCGGACTGCGGCGGCCCTCTCGATCTCCGATTAACAAGAAAAATCCAAAAAAAAAAGGAAAATTTCGAAATCCCCACAAAAAAAGGTGTAATTTTGATACTTTTGTTCATTTATTTTGTGATTTCGTTCAGATTTCATGATTCCCGATCCGTGTTCATCGCGGTTCCTGAATCGTTGATGCGACGGTCGCATGCCCGTTCCAGGGTGAAGAGTAAATCAGATAGATCATCGATGGATCCGGTCAAGCTTCAGACCCGACCCGGATACCGATCGTCGTCGATTAACGCGTTCGTTAGGGCGAACTCGAAACAACCGAAACCGAATTCTACGTTAACCATCGCTTCCATCACAGCCGCGGCGGGATTTCTCTTTGTTTTCTATTTGATCCTGTTCTCTGGCGAGAATAAGATAAGCTCGCTCCGATACAGCGTAGTGATTGATGGGGGAAGCACTGGGACCCGAATCCACGTTTTCGGGTACCGGATCGAGTCGGGAAAACCCGTATTCGATTTCAGAGGACACAATTATGCGAGCTTGAAGGTGAATCCTGGTCTCTCGGCTTACGCGGACGATCCAAATGGAGCAGCCGTGTCATTGTCGGAGCTCGTGGAATTCGCGAAACGGAGAATTCCGAAGGGGTTACGGATGGAGAGCGAGATTAGGTTAATGGCGACCGCTGGGATGAGATTGCTTGAATTGCCTGCTCAGGAACGGATTCTAGAAGTTGTGAGGAGGGTCCTGAGATCTTCTGGGTTTAAGTTCCGAGACGATTGGGCTTCTGTTATCTCAGGTTAGTTTTGCGACCCAATTGTTCTGTCTTCGGTGTTATAGTTCTTCTTCGTCTTCTTCATCATCTTTGTTCAGGCAAGGTTCATTTTGATTGACATTGTTCAAGAATAGGGTTAGATTGATAATTAAGCTGCAAGTCTGCTTTTTGCGAATCTAAGGGTAGGAGAAGAATGGTGCTCGAATTGGCATCATTTTGTTCTGACGAGGATTTCAAATAAAGTTTCAGTTTTTATGTTTATTATAGATAGTTGAAGAAATGTAATGTTTCGTCCCAAAGCGGTTTCTGGAAATAACGGTCAGAGGGCGTATATTTTCCAGGATCTGATGAAGGTATATACGCTTGGGTTATCGCAAATTACGCACTCGGTTCTCTTGGAGGCGATCCTCTTCAAACAACAGGGATAATTGAACTTGGAGGGGCTTCTGCTCAGGTTTCATATCTTTTCATAATGTATAGAATGCATATGATGCACAAGACATCGTGTCATGTAATGTAAGCAAATAAGGATAAGAGGTCGATCACTTTTTTGCATATTTGCAGGTGACATTTGTGTCAAGTGAGCCAGTGCCTTCCGAGTTCTCACGTACGATATCATTTGGGAATATTTCTTACAGCCTCTACAGTCACAGCTTCCTTCACTTCGGACAGGTAATTTCTACTTCTGTCAAAGTAAGTGTTTGCCTATTTTGAGTCGTTCTCAGAAAACTTTGATTAATCTTTTATTTTATAAGGAAACTTGCTGCAAGCATCTTCTCATCCATACTTTTGAATCTCTGATTTTGTTTTCCCTAAAGTTTTCAGAAAATAAACTAATAGTTTGCTCTTAACGAATGTGGCCCTGCAGAATGCTGCTCATGAAAAGTTATGGGAATCGCTGGTCTCAGCAGACCATAATTCAGGTGAGTAGTATTGATCTATAGGCTCTTCTGAGGCCACTCTAGCCATCTATAGTCGGTTAGGCTGATGTTTGTCAGAATGTAGGTGTAAGTCCACAACTCCACGATTACGTTAAAATAATCGCTTGATCAAGTCTTTCCATATGATTTCCTGGCTAGGCAACCAATAGAACTCTTTCCTCCATGACTTCATAGTGTTTAATTTCTTGCAGCGGCTGAATCTCTACCGAAAAGAATATTTATAGACCCCTGTACTCCGAAAGGGTACGACCTTGATATGAACTGGCCGAAGCTTTTATCTGGATTATTGGCTGATAAAAACAGATTGTCGTCTCTTCGAGCTGGTGGTAGTTTCTCACAGTGCCGGTCTGCTGCCTTGACAATCTTGCAGGAAGGGAAAGGTAGAAGAACCCTCTCGTATAGCTGAATCCCGTTCTCTCTTGGTGTCACTTATAATATATTTTTTGATACAATTTTGCTAAATTCGAGTTCAGAGACATGCACCTATCGGCAGTGTTCCGTTGGATCAACTTTCACGCCTAAGCTCAGAGGAAATTTTTTGGCCACAGAAAATTTCTTCTACACATCTAAGGTAACAAGCATCAAACTACTCATGAGTGAATGAACAACCATGCTATTATGGATAATTTACTTGATCGAGGTCTTTTTCTTCTTAATCAGTTCTTTGGGTTGGGAGAAAAAGCATCATTGTCTGATCTGATTTCGGCTGGGGAGAAATTCTGTGGAGAGGATTGGTCAAAGTTGAGGGTAAAAAACCCGTCACTAGAAGATGAGGATTTGCTCCGATACTGCTTCTCTTCAGCATATATTGCGGCATTGCTTCACGACAGTCTCGGCATTTCTCCTGATGACGGAAGGTACATTGCTTATTTCAAATAGCGATCAAAGACCTGATCACCCTCAACAACTGAAGTACACCCAGGAAGAAAAAACTGAACCTTCTGGTCTGGCCGAAAAAAACGATGAAAGATATACACTTCGAACCATCTGTACTCTCTTTTTTATTAGCTTTAGCTGATCAAAAACTGTGTTTTCCACAGAATCATGTTCACAAATCAAGCTGGAGATATGCCGCTCGATTGGGCATTGGGCGCTTTCATCCTAAATACTGCATCGACAATCTCTCATGCATCTCATCATCTCGCTTGGATCAATGCCCTTATCGGTCATGACTCAACGAAGCTGCTCTATCTCATCGGTATATCAATCTTTCTAGTTTTTTCGGTGTGTTGGGTATCCAAGTGGAGAAAACCGCAGCTGAAAACCGTTTATGACCTCGAGAATGGCCGGTATATAGTCACCCGTATTAACTGATCTCAGACAAAAGGATAACGAGTTCATCGATCATTGTTCCACAGTTCTCACAGAATTCATGAAGCCCTCCATCAATTGGCATATCCAAGTTGTTCATGGGGGGATTGTATGCAGGATTCGGCAAACCGGGGTTAGAAGAGTGAATTCTCGTTTTGTGTGGTTTGGTTTGCAATTTCCATCTTTTAGGGTCTTCCGATGGAAGTATCACAGAGTTAGGTCATTACGATTTGTATTGTCATTGTTGTCACGCAGGGTAATATATGTAGAAGATATGTAACCTCCTCTACCTCTGCCATTGTTTGGAACTCGAATTTACCAGAGACGGTGTGTTTTCATTCGATCAACGGGGTCTAAAATGAGATTTTTAAAAGTTTGGGAAAAATTCATAATGGCGACAAAAAATTGTAGCCTGACAGAGATTATTTGTTCTCGTGAAAGGGAGGGGACAACGGGCAAAAAAAATTGGATGAACAAATAATAGTTTGGTGCTAATGGATGACGGATCTTCCAAGTTTTTATCGTTCCGGCGCGCCAGAGTTCGGGGTATCATAGTAAATACCTGGGGGAGATGGCGTATAATTACGACAGTGCCATGGATAGCCGTTGCATGGTAACGGCTATTCTAAACGGAACCGTGAAGGCCCCCAGACGTCGTTATCTTTTTCTTTCTGTATAAAAGGCGAGTTTCCTATATATTGCTCTCGATTTCCGGGGAAATCTCGAGAAAAGTTTTTCAGTCTCCCCTAGAAAATTCTTGGGAACACGAGTTTCTTGCGTCTGTGACTCTGTGCTAACTTTCCTCCCGGAATTTTGTTCCGAAACAAGGGCCAGAAGCATTCCGTTCACGCTATAAACATCTCTTCCCATCTTTTGAGGTAATCTTTTTGGATTCGGCGTCCAAATAAAGTTCAAGGAAGTTTCGGTTTCTGTTTTCTCGCATTTTCTCTCGTTTTCGTGGAAACCTTGTTTGCCGCTGCTTTCCCAAGTCCCAAAGCGTTTCTGGTTTCCGGGGTTTGGAAAAATCCCTTGCTGACCTATCAGAGTTGGTCTTGATTTTGGCTTTGTTAGTTCGTATTTAGGGTTTCACTTCGGATTTTTCTTCGTGGAATAGGCTGGGGGTAGAATTAGGCGTGTAAGCAGAGATGAGTAGTCACGTAGTGGTATACGTCAATGGGCTGGTACGGCCGGTGCCGTTGTCTCCGGTTCATGCGGAGGTTGAAAATGCGAGATCCGATGCGGCGGGGCCGTCGGGTTCTGTGGCGGAGGCGGAGGAGGAGAACAGAAGGATTGATATTTCCGACGGGGAAGCGGATGAGGAGCCGCTCATTGGCTTCGCCGAGTGCCGTATTTGTCGGGAGGAGTGCTCCATCAAAAATCTCGAGAGCCCCTGTGCTTGCAGTGGCAGTCTAAAGGTATCTCTGATTCTCTGGTCCATGTTACTCTTTTGTATCATTGCTTCTGGCTGATTAAAAGATGCGACTTTTTGAATCATTTGGGCACATTTTCGGGTACTGAAAATTGATGGAAGTTTGGGTTTTGGACAGTATGCTCACAGAAAGTGTATTCAGCATTGGTGCAACGAGAAGGGCAACATTATATGCGAGATCTGTCATCAGGTTTGTTGTCTCTAGTAATTTTTTTCAGAGTAACTAAAGTCCATGAATGCTTGTCACAGATATGCTAGAATCCTCTATGCACTGCTGTGATCAGGTCGTGGCATCTGATATCCTTTCAACTTGTCTTTCTAGCCTTACCAACCTGGGTATTCTGCTCCACCTCCTCCACTCCATACTGAAGAAACCACCGTCAACATTGGGTATGCCTCCGCCATGTTTCTACCTTCCGAGATTTGTGTATTTGGGGTTTCTTATATCTGTTTTTGGTTTGTGCATGTGACTTTAGTGGAGGATGGACAATCTCAGGTTTGGATCTGCATAATCATCGTCTCTTGGCCATCGCAGAAGCTGAACATCTGTTTTTGGATTCAGAATGTGATGATTATACGGCTCCAAATGCCAGTGGAGCTGCATTCTTCCGTTCCGTAGCTCTAATAGTAAGCCTTTACTCTTATAAAAATAAGTTAACCTTACTCCGCTGTAAAGAGTCGTTAAAAACCAAACAGGGGTTCTTTTTCAGTTGATGGCCCTTCTTCTCTTACGACATGCCCTGACCATAACAGATGACCCAGATGGAGAAGATGATTCATCCTCAATATTCTCTGTGAGTCATATATAATCAAATTATCGTTCCCTGATGCCATCCATTCTTTAAGCATCCAGAGTTTCGGTTTGATTCTAACTTTAACTACCAACCGTTCTAATCTTTCGCAGCTTTTCTTGCTCCGAGCTGCCGGTTTTCTCCTTCCATGCTATATCATGGCTCGGGCCATCATCATCCTCCAGCGCCGAAGACAAAGACAGGTTAGCATTATAACCTCATCAGCAAATCTCTCATTACTTCAAATCTGTGTGATAATTACTTTCTGTCACGAGGAAACCTTTAGGGGCGTTATTTCCCTGTACTAACATCTAAGTTAACTTTGCACCGAAGGTCAGTGTTCTTCTTGATCTCAAAACCTTATATTAGCTGAGATAGAAGCTATCAGTTCCAAACTATATCACCCTTTAGACAAACTGAGTTATATCCATGGAAGCCTTGCTTGAGAGAATACAATAACTTTCCCGTCTCTAGGATCATCAAACTGGCGAAAAACTTTGCAACTATAACATAACTAACGCAACTGGAAACAGGACCTAGAGGTGTTGGCAACACAGTTTGCGTTGGTGATGCGGTCGGGACAAGGTAGAGCCGTGCATTTCAGGATAGGACCTGGACCAGCACCACCTTCCATGGCTACTGCAAATGCCGCCACCACCTCCACTTCACAACACCAACATGAAGAAGAGCCCGTTTGACTGACTCGTTTTGGTCCTTAATTAGCATGGCCTCCTGAATCAGCTTACGACTCAGCAAAGGTACAAACAATGTGAATGGATTTGCTCGGTAAATTGGGAAAGAAGAACAGAGTTTCTGGCTTTTCGTTCATTGAAAGATTTTTAAAACAGCTGGGATGATCTTTAATCTTCTTTGAAATGATTTCTTTCAAAAAAAAAATTGTTCTTGGTTTCCACTATATATACTGAGTTGTGTGTGTGTATACACAACTCATATACACTTCCTTAAATAAGCTTCCTTGTATTTCCAACATAATAATAGACATTATTGGGTTGTACAGTGATTTCTTTTAATGCCCTCCATGAATCTTTTTTTTTTTTGTGTGTGTGTTTGGAATGCAGATGCATTAGCCTTGAGATCATTTACTATAGTATAGCTTTTTTTTTTTACATTTTGATCAACTATAACCATTTTAATTATGAATAAAATTTGTTTTTATAAGAGAATACAAGGGTCATATCAAATGTGTGTGTGTATGTATACACGTCATTTTCACTTGAAGGATATAATTATATAAATTTTAAAAGAATGAAAGAGAAGAATAAATTTGCCCTTCCACATGGTTTACCCTTTGGATGGTTTATCTGTGCTACGTGGTTTGTTCCACATAGTTTGCAGGCTATTACATGAAATCAGAGGGTTTATCACTGCACCCGAAAGACTGTGGTTGGGTTTCCACCGTTACCCAAAAAAAAAAGAATAAATTTGGTTTTACCCTAAATTGGACGTCAAATGGTATCCTTACCTTAGTTACGCGACATCTTAAAGAGTTGCATATCTCGCTCATCTACGAGGTCCTCCGACACAATATATACAATGGGCTTTGTATTGGGCCACATGAAGGCCTATATAACATGGGCTTAGGATCCACTTGTTTTTTGGCCTTTTTTCACAAATTCCGGATTTCTTGTTAAATGCATCGGATTCGGAATCGGATATTCATATTGGAACTTCTAGGGTTTCTGTTATCGTCCTTCATAAATAGCAAGCCGCGGTTGCGGCCGAGAAGGCAAAGGAGTGTCGACGCCATGGGTCGAAGTAAGTCCTCTCTCAATCAGTTTTCTAAGATATGGATTCTTCGTATCTGTCTAGTGCGTCGCTGGTTCTTTCATGGAGGGTTTGATATCCGTTTGGTTTAACCGACTCTTGTTCATGATGTCTCGAATGGATTTTTTTTTTCCTTTTGTATGCGAAGCTAGGTTAGATTCTCGCTGCGTTTATATCTTAGGATTTCTCGTATGTTTTGATCTCTCTATACGGAGTAGTTGATGTCGATCTGGGAAATGCATATTTCGAGATAGTGTTGTTTCAGTCGGGGAGAAAATTCCATCCGTCTCTAGCTTGTGTGAAATGGAGGATGATATCTTCTTTTGTCCGCCTTCTGATTTTGAATTAACGATGTCATATCATGGAGGCGTGTGTGTTGTGTATCATATTTTACCCTTTCTCGTCTTCCGATTTCAGCAAAGGTTTTGAACCTTCAGCCTTTTGCTTTAAATTCTAGAATATGGCTAAACGTCAACGAATTGCAGGACCAGCTAGATGCTACCGCCAGATCAAGGGTAAGCCCTACCCGAAATCACGGTACTGCCGTGGTGTTCCTGATGCAAAGATCAGGATCTATGATGTCGGTATGAAGAGGAAAGGTGTCGACGAATTCCCCTTCTGTGTCCATTTGGTTTCATGGGAGAAGGAAAATGTTTCGAGCGAAGCCTTGGAAGCTGCCCGTATTGCTTGCAACAAGTACATGGTCAAGTCTGCCGGAAAGGATGCTTTCCATCTGCGTGTTAGGGTTCACCCTTTCCATGTGCTCAGGATCAACAAGATGCTTTCGTGTGCCGGAGCTGATAGGCTCCAGACCGGTATGAGGGGTGCCTTTGGAAAACCACAGGGCACTTGCGCCAGGGTGGCGATCGGACAAGTGCTGTTGTCTGTTCGTTGCAAGGACAATCACGGTCACCATGCTCAAGAGGCTCTTCGCCGTGCAAAGTTCAAGTTCCCTGGTCGTCAAAAGATTATTGTCAGCAGG